AATGAACCGCCTAGAGTGCTCGAGATGAGGCCGCTGCACCACGGGGGTACCGCCGCCGCCGCCGCTCGGCGAAGGAGGAGCGGGTACTCCAAGGAAAGTGGCAGGTCGACGCCAGGACGGAGCAAAAGTAGTCATCATCGTCCGGGCGCTGCCGCTACTTTCGCGGGACCGGATGGAATGGACGCCGGCTTTGCGGACCCGGGCACATTTCGATGGGATGCGACCGTCGCCGACGCCGCCACTGCTCAGGGGGAGGACGGTTCGGAGGGTGAAGAGGAGGAGGAAGAGGAAGAAGAGGAGGAGGAGGGGGGGGAAGGGGTCAGCAGGAGGGACGGGAGGGTGGCTGACACGGGTAGCAGGAGGCGAGGCAAGGGCGTAAGACGGAGCAGCAGCGGCAAGCTTGCGGCAGTAAACCCTTCGAGGTCGGGGAGGGGGGACATGATCGACATTGCGCTTGCTGCAAGGCACCAGAGCGTGTGGTACATCATCACGCCTGAGTCGAAGACGCACCAGATTTTCGACCATATCGGTGAGAGAGATTTGTGTTAAGCCTCTGGGATTCAGAGAAGTGTCCAAGCTGGGTAGGCTGCTTTTGACAAGCTCCACACTTGCATGCGGGACAATTAACAAGCAGTTCTGTGTATTGCAACTACGGCAGCAACGGCAGCAGCTGCGTTGTGTCTTTCGAACTGCCTGTACCACGTACGCTTCATGGTTAGGCACTGCCGCTGTTGCCTACGATCACAGCACACGGTGGGTACCCGTGAAGCTTTTGGCGAAATAGCGTTGCGATGCTGGCCCAGTTTTAGGCCGCTCTTTCCCGTACGAGTTGAGCGTATGGCAACGTTGCTCTGTTAGAGTATATGCAGTCAAAGAAAGGTATCCTGCCCTTTCGAGATGTAGTAGCATACCACAGCAGTCGAAGGGGAGGTGTTCAATTCTTTGCAGGTTTGGCGCGAGGACGAAGGAATCGCCGGCGAAACAAAAGCCAACCACGCCTCATTTCGACGATGAATCAATCCACCAGCCGTCCTAAAAAAAAAAAAAAAACACGCCTCATTTCGACGATGAATCAATCCACCAGATGGGCACATGGCTTGCTTGGCTGCCCGCAACGTCCGGGCCATATCTCTTGCCTGTGGCAGTAACACAGATTTTGGCTGACAGCTGATTGTATTGCTGTAGTTTTTCCTCCTACACTGCTGTATGTATGACAACCGATGGTTGACTCGCTTCCGTTCATATGCAAAATGCAAAGTCTGGCCAGCAGTCCTACCACCATCATATTTTCGTTTCCCAACCTGCTCACCGGCAGGGAACAGGGGATCCACCTAGAAGGCCGTCGGTTGTAGAATGCTGACACGATTACGGTCCCTGTCATCGGTGCTGTGGTGGTTTGTTTGTTTCTCATTCTCCCAGGCGACTTCTTGACGATGTACGTGGTGGTGGCGATACCGCTCTTCGTCTCGTTCCAGCACATCGAAAACATGCACGCGGTATGTATGTATGTCCCACACATTTACACGCACTCGCAGATGATCTTTCATTACAAAGCGTTTTTATGTCCTTCGTTTCAAGCGTCGACTCAAGAACCGTAAGGCTGTGCTTACAGCCCAACGTCACTGGGGGGTATCTGTTGGCTGTGATAGTCGCTACGGCATTTGTTTGTTTTTTCGACACTTTATGTTTATTGACCCTGCGGCGGTGGCCACGGTTGCGACACACATCTACAGTAGCGCGACACGTGCGTGGTAGGCAGGCACTAAGGGCGCGGATCACGTGGACTTGAGTTGAAACTTGAGGCCCTCTTGGCGACCGATCTGGACGGCGAAGCTGCGGGTGTCGTAGTTGATCGGACCTCCACTCACCTTGGGCAGGCGTACGTACTCTGCAAGCGCTCTATAGTGAAGGTGCATGCATTTGTGCTACACAGACAGTAGACTGGTGTGGAGCGCATGCGCAGTTTAGGTCACATCGTTGCGTGGTTCTGCGGCAAGTGTGCTGTAGAAGTGATCCGGTTGCCCCCCCCCCCCCCGCCGCCGTTCCCTAATTTTCTGCCCCGACCTGGGAAGAGGACTGGCACGCCTTCAACTTCGTGGTGGACGTGTGCTTCCTGGTAGACCTCGCGGCGCGGTTCCTGACGGCGTACCACGACGAGTACGCCAACAGGGTGGTCTACGAGCCCATCGCGATC